CCCCCCCCCCCACCCCCCCCCGTGACCTGGAATGACCCTCCGACAGTGACAATGGCCTTGGAGCGACTTTCCCCGCATTAACTAGAGGCAGAGTCGCAGTGAGGAAATCTACCCGTTTAATGGGGGAAAATATTGCCTCTGTAAGGCTTTACGCAACGCACTTGAGCTTAATGCTCACTTACCAGCTCACCCCTGGAACTTCCACGTTGAGTGAATTACGTGCTCCAGGCGGGTAGTGATTAAAGAAGTGATAAGTGCTTTATAATTCAGTAAAGGGTGGCCTGGCCATTTCATATTTTCCTCAGGAAATCGGCCACCCGAAGGCCAGCACTCTGGGGACCCGGGGGCCAGCTGAGCTTAGGCACGGAGCTCGCAGCGTTGGCTCCCTTTCAGGCCAGCTGCTCGGCCTGGACCAGACGCCTCGTGCCCAGACGGTCTCCTCCGCGGCCGCTGGGGAGAACGGGTCTCGCCTGCCTCAGGCTGCTTCTGCTCCTCATCAAAGCCCTTCTCTCTCCCGCTTCAAAGGCTGCGGCGCCTAGTAGGGCTGGAGGTTTGGGCCTCATCACTCCAACCCCACAAGCGCGGCCTTTTTTTAAAGTTGATGTCAGAGAGAGGAAGGGAGGGAGGGAGAGAGAGAGAGAAACATCAGCGATGACAGAGAATCATGGATCGGCTGCCTCCTGCCCACCCTCCACTGGGGATGGAGTCCACAACCCGGGCATGCGCCCTGACTGGGAATCGAACCCTGACCTCCTGGTTCATGGGTTGATGCTCAGCCACCTCCCTCCCTACTCCTGACACTGGAGCTCTGGCCCATGGGCCTTGCAAGGCCTCTGGTTTCCCCCCCCGCCCCCCCACCCATTGCTGGGCTCTGCAGTGACTCCCTGATTGGATGTTGAATGGTGTGCACAGGGCCACATCCCCTTCTCTGATACCAAGTTCAAGGTGTCAGTGGGGCCCGACCAGGGCTCTGGGCTGCTCAGGTGGACCAGGTGGAAGACCATGCAGGGGTAGAGAGCATGGCGCGTACTTAACCCAGGGCAGCGGCTCGTATCGGAGATGAGTGAGTGGTGGACGGCCCCGTCGCCATGCATCATCGTTCCAGTGCAGACACTGACGACAAACACGGAATCAAATAATCTAATGAGGCAATTACAGATGGTTAGTCAGGGCTGTGAAGGACAGAAACAGGGGCTTGTGCCAGAGCGCAGCTGGAGTGGGAGGGGGGGCTCCCATGGGGTCGTGCAGGCTTCTCTGAGAAGGTGACCTTTGAGTTGAGATGGGAGGGATGACAAAAGCTGGGAAGGTGTTCCGTGGGCGTTCAGGTTGGGAGCAAGGATATATACATTTTTGTTAATCCTCCCCTGGGGGTATTTTTCCATAGATTTTTAGAGAGAGTGGAAGGGAGGAGAGACAGAGAAACATAGATGTGAGAGAGACACATTGATTGGTTGCCTCCTGCACATGCCCTGACCAGGGCCGGGATCAAGCTTAACAACAGAGATATGTGCCCTTGACCAGAATCAAACCCGGACCCTTCAGTTTGCAGGCCATTGCTCTAACCACTGAACAACTGGCCTGGGCAAGCCTGGTCTGTTTCAAGAGTAGAACACAGGCCAGTGTGGCCGGGCCCAGAAACCAGGGGAAGGTGCTGGCAGAAGGGCTGAGCCGGATGGCCTGACTCTCCAGTGCGCTGGCCAACCCAGATGAATTGCCGCCCTGGAAGTTAGGCCTTCTGTCTGTGGGGGATCTGAGGGCTGTGCCCTGACCTGGTCCCTGTGGGGAGACCGGGCCTCAGCCCCACAGGGCACTGGGCGTGCACACACCTCCCCTGCTCCTGGCACATGCGCTGGACTTGATGAGGACGCCGTGCAGATGCTGCCGGCTCCCATCTGTCCGCTGCACGACCTGCTGTTCCTTTCTGCGGCCCCGGGGGTTCCGGATGAGGACAGGCTCGCGTGGTCCTGGCGTGCAGGTGCTGGTGGAGCTGTGGCCTCACGCGTGGGCATGCTGGGGCCGTCCACCCAGGGAGGCTCCGGGCATCTCAGCGAGGGAGTGAGGGAGCGCGGGTGACGGGGCTGGTGGGGTCCGACGTGGCTTCCCCGGCTGCCTTGGTGCCCACACTCCGCGGGGCTGTTGCTCGGGACGGTTTGTTTACAACTAAACATCTCAGATAATTGAAAGCTAATGCTGCTGTCTGGATCACTAGACATAATATGCCTGGATAACAAATCAATTTCCTCATCGCCCCACAAGCTTCCAAGTCAGATGCACAGCATGTTCTGTGTGTGTGCGTGCGTGCGTGCGCGCGCTCTCCGTTGGTGACTGGTCATTTGGGAAGTGGAATTCCAGGCTGCTTTCTTTCCCCAGGCACCAACTCCGTCCTTCTGTCGGGGCCTCCATCCCAGAGCAGGATTCAGGGGAGGAGGGGCTGGGCACCCCAGCTCTGGTGGGAACGAGCAGCCTGGAAAGAAGGGACATCTGTCCGCGGCCTTGTTCCCCGAAGCTCAGAGCTGTGTGTTGGGCGGGCAGAAGCTCATGTACAAAACCATGTGCGGAGCGCCGGTTCCCACTGCCTCCTGCCAGGGCGCAGCTCCAAGGCCGGCCCGGGGGCAGCGTGTTAGCGGTGCCACCAGGGCGTGGGGGTGAGGACGCTCCCTCCCAGAAGACATCACTTCTCTGGCACCTCAGTCAGAAAGGGGGTGCGAAGAGGGCAGACCTACCTACGTGTGTGTGTGTGTGTGGGGGGGGGGGGTATGCGTTTGTGAGAATCTCCTCATACCCCCTTACACCCCTGTTCAGCTCCTCCTCATTCTCACTGAACGCAGAATTCCCGCCACAGTAACGGAACCAGCTGTTCACTGCGCTGGTGCTGTGCACCGACCCTGGAGGGAGGGCGCGGGCACCGCCTCCACCAGTCCTCACAGCGTCTGGGTTTCCCAGGAGGAAACTGAGGACAGGAGGGGCTGGAGCCACTGGCCCAGCGGCTTCTCAGTTCAGAGCTGGGGTCTCGTCCAGGTCAGCCCGCCCCCTGGGTGCCCACTCCTCACCCCTGTGCTCCCAGGGGCTGCAGAGCAGACTGGCTGAGGCACCTTGGAAGGGGGAGGGGCCCTCCAGCAGGCGTTCAAGGGGGTGATGGCCCACAACCTGATGGCAGAGAGAGAGCCAGAACTCCACTGAGCGCAGGTGCAGGGAGCATTCGCTTCAGAATCAGCTCAGGGTGGGGCCGTCCTGGGTGGGGCACACATTCGGGGGACACTGTGTCACAGTTCAGCAAACTAGTTAGGTTGGTTATGGTCACCCAGGACCATCAAGAAAATGACGCCCAACCAGCAGGGCTGAGTGTCGACCTATGAACCAGGAGGTCACGGTTCGATTCTCGGTCAGGGCACGTGCCCGGCTTGCGGGCTCGATCCCCAGGAGGGGGCGTGCAGGAGGCAGCCGATCCATGATTCTCCCTCTCCCTCTCCCTTTCTCTCTGAAATCAATAAATATATATATTAAAAAAGAAAATGTACGTACGCCACCTTCTGCCCGCCCCCTTAAGAAGTCAGGGAGGTGCTTAATGCACTTTAGGGCCGAGAAAGAAACGCCAGCAGGAGGCTGAGCACACGCAGGCTTTGCACTGAAGGTTAGTTGTCTGGAAAGTCTGGTTACGAGGCAGCTCGTGCACAGCAGTGAGACGCGACGGAGGTCGCCGCGACCGGACAGGGGCCGAGGGGCCGAGGTGGAGGGGAGGGGCGCTGGGCCTGCCGCCGCTGGAGGAAGGGCATTTCCGTCCCTCCCGAGTCCCCAGGGAACCGGGGACATTCTGTGAGGTGAGGGTGCTGGGCCCTTCCCTGGGCCTTCCCAGCCGCCTCAGGCCCCTGGTGTTTCTACGCGTAGGACTCAGCCCTCGGCGTTGTGAACAACTGAAACGTATCCACATGACATGTTTTTAATTAAAATATGGGTCACACAGTCTGCGCCATCTAATTTTTCTGAGCGTGGAGGTTGCCAATTCATTTCCATGTTGGCTCGGGACAAGCCGGAGGTAGGAAACTTTGGCACGGAAGCACGGCGCAGTTTATTCTCGCACGAGGGGCCGGCGTATTTCCTGTGGACGTGGCCATTAGTACCTCCCTGTGCCCGAGCCCATCCCCCAGGGGCGTGAAGGGTCCCGTGTGGGGTGGGCGTATCTGCCCCAGAACTGGGTGCTGTTCGGGCGCCTCGGGGAGTGGCCTCCTTTCGGGCAGTTCTCCTCTTCCTTCTGGAGGGACGGTGCACACGAGTGGTCCCCTGGCTCCCCGTCCGAAGCCGGGCCCCGTGAATGGATGGATGGATGGATGGATGGATGCGCAGCCGCGGGAACGCTGCGATCCGCTTGTAGTTTACATGAGCCGATGGCCCGGCGGATATGGGGACGGGGCTGGCACAGGTCCTCCTCCTCCGGGCCTTCCTTTTCATCAGACGTGGAGCTGGGTCCCCACCCTGCTGGCACCAGGTCAAGTCCGCGGCCGGTGGCTGCAAGCTTCCAACAGAAGCCTTTGGCCTTGGACTTGAACACCGAGCTGGCCACCTGGTCCACGGCCCCAGCAGATGCCCGTGTGTCTGGCTGCTCATCAGGGGCCCCGAGAGAATGTGCTACGCGGCGGCTCCCGCATGCCGTGTCACCGCGGCCCCGAAACGAGGGCAGATGGCAGGGCCACGGGTGGTGGCAGGGAGGCGACGTCTGGGGAAGGTGGCTGCCACTTCTCGGGCCTGGGTGTCCTGCGGGGAGCTCCCTGCACTTCGGGGCCACTGATGGGAACGTCGCATCCAAGGAGGGTGTGTGGGCATTGGCTCTGCCTGGGCTCCTGGGGCATCTGGGATCGTCAATATCCAAACCCCTGAAAGCTGCCTGGCAGGGGTGGCCCCGCCCGTGTGGGACCCACTTGGGATCTGCACCCAGGTCTCTCTGGCTTCGAGCCAGCGCCTGTCCGTGGCCCCTCAGCTGACCTGACCCTGCTTTACCTCCCCAGACACATAGAGAACTGGCGCGGCCTGCACACGCTCAACGCCGTGGACATGGAGCTCTACACGGGCCTGCAGAAGCTGTGAGTGTGCGCCAGGCCCCGGGATGTGGGGGTATGGGGGGAGGGGGGCTGCCCATCTGCCTCCTGGGCCCGGTGAAGGCACGGCAAGGCCCCTGTCTGCACTTCCGGGGGTTCCTCTGTTAGTGGAGGGGGCACTGCCAACTCAGAGAACTCGGGGGCTTGAAAGGCCGGCCCCTCACGCTCCCACATTGCACTGGGCCTGCAGGACATCGCACCTGCGGCTCAGGTGTTAAGGCAGGACCCTCTGCGGGGCTACTGGGGCCCCTGGAGCATGAAGGTCCCCTACCTCCTCCTCAGGACTTCAGTGCTGCCGGCTGGGGGGACTCGGGGTGGGGAGGAGGCTCCAAGGGGGAGCCCCGCTCTCAGGCACCTGCCAGTCTGGGTGGAGGACAGCTGCCAGCACTGCCCACCCACATCCCGAGCCGTCCCCCAGGTCCCGTGGGGTGTGAGCTCAGATATCCCTCACTTGACACCCCCGTCGGGTATCATCGGGGCCCCGTGGAGCCCAGTGGGGCCCATGATGAAGGAGAGAGTTCACTTCAGCGGGGCGGCTGCAGGTCCGGGCCTGGCCTGGCCTCCTGTGGCCCTCAGCCCGCAGCGGTGTCCCTCTGCCCCCTGAGCTCTGCTGACCCTCTCTCTCCCTCCAGGACCATCAAGAACTCAGGACTCCGGAGCATCCAGCCCAGAGCCTTTGCCAAGAACCCCCACCTGCGCTACATGTGAGTAGAGCGGGGTCCTGGCCCCCCAAGCCCCTGCGGTGGGACGCGCCTGAGGTGCATGCTTTGCAGCTGGAGGCGTGGCCATGGCCAGAGGGGGCCTGGGGCCAGATGTTCCGGGTGTTTATTTTATAGGGGATCTGAGGTTCCCTGCAGAACATGCCAGGGGATGCGCTTCTGACCTCTGACAAGTCTCTCTTTTCATACTGAGCCACGCAAAGGCTACAGAGCTGGTGCCCGCAGCGCGCCCGGTGGGGACGGAGCCCGCGGCGCACCCGGTGGGGACAGTGCAGGTGCAGGTAGGGACCACGTGTCCCTTCTAAGGGAGCCACTAAGCTCCCAGCTGATGGCTGCGCCTGGAGGCGGGACTTCCTGCTGGGTGTGGAGGCGGGGCTTCTTGCTGACAGATGTGCTGATTTTTATTTTATTTTCCCAAGAAGAGCTGGAGGTCTAGTTAAACCTCTCAGTTTAAACCCTGGCAACTAAAAGTAAAATCACCCCACCCCATGGGCCACCCAGTCTGCGTGGACAGATGCCACGTGGGCGCCAGGGTCATCGCAGGAGAGGAGCCCTCATCACGGGCGGGAGGGGGAGCTCTGTCCCCGATGGGGCAGGGGCTGGCTGCTCATGCCCTCAGGCCTTCTAACAGTGTGTCCCCTGCGCTCTCGGGGGAGTCGGGAGGGCTTTGGGGCCTGCCACGTTCCCAGGGGCCACAGAAGAGGGAGCCGGACTGCATCCGGGTCACGGGTGCCTCTGATGTCAGTTGTACCGGACGCCTTTGACTTACCCTGAGGTCCCAGACAGTGACCCACCGTTTCTTTAGGGATGATCTGCCCTCTGCTGGGTGGCGAGTGACAGGCAGGTGGGCTTTGCGAGGTCCCCAGCTCTGGGGTCAGGGCGTCTGCTGTTAATTGTGTTAAAAAGGCTGGCATCAGAAGACAGACGGGGAAGGCTCACACTGGGTAGGACTTCACCGGGTGCCAGGATTGTGCTGGTGCTTTTGCAAAGCCAGCCTCACTCCTCGCGGGAACTGAGGGTCGGGTTCTGCTGTGCCCATTTCAGAGATGAGAACGTCGGGGCTTGGAAGTCATCCCTGGCTTCCCTCAAGGTTGAATAGCTGTTAGTGGAACAGCCAGGACTTGGCCTCTAGGCATGTTTTGTCTCTCTCTCTAGTTTTCACAGTAAGAAGTCTTCTTGTGAGGGTAGAGCGAGTGAGCGAGAGTGGGAGACAGAGAGAGAGTGAGAGAGAGATTTCCCAGGGGATTTGGCGCCAGCCGTCCTCCGACAGCTCTGTTGAGACAGCGGGTTTCCTTTCTTTCCTATTCAGGTCAAACGCTGTGGCCACAGTCGCACTGCAGCCCGAATGTCTCTATTATAGGAGGTTTCTGAGCGTTAGCCTCTGGCCCACTTACTTCCAAGAATATGTAGCGTGAGAGCCCAGCAGCCAGAATAATCCTCTCGGCTCTCAGAGCTGTGGTGCCAGATCCCCCTCATGTTCAGGTCCTTGTTTCCCCCGAAGAGGCTCTGGGTGCCTTGTTGGCCGTTTCTCTCCGTCCTGGGCAAGCGTGACCTTGATCTTCAGCGGTGGGCGTATGACGGGTGCGGAGGGGAGGGTGTCCTGATTTCAGCACCATTAAGTCGGCCACCCTGGGCGGAGGGAGGGAAGGGGCTGGAGTGCCAGCCTTTTCGGGACATGAAGGCGACAGTTTCCCCTCAGGTTCCCGGGATGGAGACACAGCGAGACTGATTGCTTCCGTGTTGTAAATCACTCAACTCTTTGCTCCTTGAAATACCCCAGCCTGGGCCCCAGGACAGTGTCCAGTGGCTACGTCAGTAGGCGTTTGCGACCTCTGCCCCTTGCCTCTGAGAGGGCTTTTCCCCTGGCGCACTGGTCTCCTCACGGCTTCCCCTCGCGCCCTTGTCTGCTCCGCGTGGAGGACACAGCCATCGAACTCTGTGCAGCTCCCAGGCAGGAGCGCGGGCTCTGAGCTGGAAAGGCCCGGGTTCAAATCCTGCATCTTCCACCTCCTGCTGCGCAACCGTGGGAAGCTGCTGAAGGTCATGAGTCTGAGCGGATTGTTCTACCCTCAACCAGGACGGCCATTAGGAAGCACTGACAACAGTGATGACTCCGTGGCCGCTCATTGGCCTCTGATTCCATAGATGAAGCTGGAAGGGGCTCAGAGCCAGCCCCCCAAGTCCATATCGCGTCCCTGCCCCCACCCTGCCCTTCAGACTCCTAGTAAACTTCCCTCCTGACAGCGAAAATGTCAGGCTCCCCGTGGCCCAAACAAGCCTCGATTCAAGGTCACTTCAAGGTCAGGTCCTCCCTCCAGCCTGTGTTCCCTCAGGGTTCTTGTTAACCCTTTACCTGCCCCCTCCCGCTGTGTAACTCATCCCGTCCCTGAGAGAAGCTGTGCCCATCGCTCCCCTTGCCCGCCGTGCTGCCGTCTCGGTTTGCGTCAGCGTCCTCTCTGCTGGCCCCATGGTGACGCCCCCCGGGGGCTTTCTTCCCTCCACTTTTGTCCCTTCCATTCATCCTGGCACAGTTGCCAGAGCGATATTTAAATACATGAGTTCAGTCGTGCCACTCTGCCGCATGCAGCCCTCTAACTGTGTCCTGCTTTCCTTACGATGGAAGCCACGCCCTCCGCCTGGCCACAGGAGGCAGCTGACGTGGCTGGTTCCCCTCCTGCCTCTGCCCCTGGCTTCCTGCTGGGCCGGGGCCCTCTCTCAGCCCCTCAGCCCCTTACAGGTGGTTGGCGCTTTCTCATCCTTCTGAGCCCACCTTCTGAGCGAGACCCTCTGCCCACCCAGTCTTCATGGCGCTTCTCCTTCCGCTCCTGTCGCTCTCCATCACCTCGTGTGGCTTCATCGCTCCCCCAGCCCTTATTCCTGTGGACTGGCTGCCAGCATCTCGCAGTCACTTAATTGTTCGCACTCTGTTCCCCCCGGAGGAGGTAAACTCCCATAGAGCAGGCCCATGTGATGGTCACCGCTCTAGCTCCAGCGCCCAGAAAGACGCCCGGCACCGGGCGCGCAGTCCAGAGCAATTGGCTGAGTGTATGAGGGACTCTAGTCTAAGGTGGCCATTCTGTGGGCGGCGGGATGGATGTCCGGGTGGAGAGCTATTCTGACCAAGATCTCACGGGTAAGAGCGGGGCCGGGTCTCAAACTCAGGTCTCAGCACTTTTTTTTTTTTTAAATCCTCATTTAAGGATATGTTTTCATTGATTGTTTATAGAGAGAAAAAGGGGGAGAAAGAGAGAGAGAAACATTGGTGTAAAAAAGAGACATGGATCAGTTGCCTCCCGTATACACACACCCTGACCGGGACTCGAACCCGTTACCTTTGATGTGCGCGATGCTCCAGCCAACGGGAGCCGCCCAGCCAGGGCGGTGCTGTCTGTTGGACATTCCTTCCACCATGTCACCCTCGTGACTTTTCTTGGGCCCTGTGTAGCCAGGTTCCTCAGGCTTCTGGGGAGGGCAGGAAGGCGCAGTCCGGCTTGAATGAAAGGATGTATGGGCAAGTATCCTATGGCCAGCATTGACACACAGCGCTGATGCGACAGCACGGCAAATGGGACGGTCACGTGGCAGCATCACTCTGCTGAAATGTCACATGAGAATGTGCGGCGGAGGCACCTGGTCTCCCGGAGCCTGCTGCTCGCATTGCTCCCCCCTGCTCGTCAGACCTGGTTGGTGCCCGCGCTGCGGCCTCTGACGACATCCATCGGCCACTGTGCTGGCGTGGCTGGGGCGTTAAGAGCGTGTGCTCCGGAACACGCTGCCCGAGTTTTAGTTCTGGCTCTACCACCTCCCTGTGCATCCTGGGCGAGTTACCTAATGTGTCTGCGTATCTGAGCCTTGATGTTCTCCTTTGGAAAGTGGGCTAATCTGGTCGTCAGCCGGGTTAATAACCCCTTCCCCCACAATTTTTTTGTTAAAAACGTTTCTTTTTCAGACTAATTTTTTTATTTTGGTTCTATATAGTATTTTTGATGCTGGTTATGAAAACAGTTTGTAACTCGTCTTCCTATAAACCATATTTTCTTAGTATACTCGTCGACGACTGAAAAAGAACATTTTGTGAAAACGAGTATACACGTTTCTGCCGGGGAAGGGGTTAAGTAGTGAGGCGTTGAGGAGAATGCCTGGCCCACAGCAAGAGCCCGATGTGGTGTTGTTGTTGCTGTTTTTTTTTTTTTTAAATACTTTTTATTGATGTCAGAGAGGAAGGGAGAGGGAGAGAGAGACAGAAACATCCATGATGAGGGAGAATCATGGATCAGCTGCCGCCTGGATGCCCCCCACTAGGGATGGAACCTGCAATCCGGGCATGTGCCCTGACCGGGAATGGAACCCTGACCTCTGGTTCATGGGTCGGCGCTCACCTAGCGAGCCACGCCGGCCGGGCACGGCCTGAACTTCACAGTTTGGTTATGCTCTTGTCTGCCTTGCCTTCCAGAAACTCGGTCTAATGCCGTGTAAGCAGTGTGGGCCCCGGCTGCGTCTCCTGGCCGTGGAGGCAGACACGTGCCCGTATTTTCCAGCTTCGTTTATGCTCAGTCGGTTTTCTGTTCTCCCCCCTGCCCTGAGGCTTCATGACTTCCCATTTGTCCACACCCTCTTCTCATTGCTCTTGTTAGGGACAGCCTAGAAAGCCAAATCAGTCCCCGGCTATTTTGGATCATCATTAATGTCCATCCCTCTCTGCTCCTTAGCAGCCTGGCAGCCCGTCTCCCCCTTGTTCCTTCTTGATGGATTTCCCACGTCTCTCTCAGTCTCTCTCATTCCCCACTTAACCCCTGTGCCTCTTGAGGCTGCTGGCCTTGGTCCTGAGGGACCACCCCGTCACCATGTTCTGGGGTGGAGGACAGAGGTGATTACAGTGTGACAGGTACCATGAGAGGACACCTGGTCCTCTGTCCTTTCCCACATTGGTGCACCCAGCTGTGCCCCAGGGGGCGGGTGGCTCACCCCCACCCCCAGGCGGCCGT